CACCAGAGGGGGTGAACATGGGGGTGCGGTCTCTATGCGTTGCAGGCGCGCAGGGCACGGCAGGCGCGGCAGTTTCTCGACACCAGGACGGTGCGCAGGGGGTGCGGTCACTATGCGTTGCAGGTGCGCAGGGCATGGCAGGCGTGGGAATTCTCGACACCTGAGGGGGTGCACAGGGGGTGCGGTCCCTATGCGTTGCAGGCGTGCAGGGCGCGGCAGGCATGGCAACGTCTCGATAACAGAAGGGGGTGCGCGTGGGGTGCGGTCTCTATCCGTTGCAGGCTCGCACGGAGCAGCAGGCGTGTCATTTTCTCGACATCAGAGGGGGCGCGCAGGGAACGGCCACCAACATCATTCTCACATGCTTCTTTTCAGCTATCATCACTCCAGCCATCATGTAAGTATGTGGGGTTCCTCGGTAGCGTAATTGTTCGCGTTGCATGCCGAGTGGAATTCGTCCACCGCGCCCGCAACAGCTCCTCTGCCGCGTGGAATGTGATTCCATTGGTCCGCCAAAAATGGTGTGGAAACGAAAGGGATTGAGAGGGTTGCTGAGAGGAGAATGCAGGATTAAGGTCGACTGGGGTTCATGGCGTGCATCTGTGGGGGCATAGAGGGATGGTACGGCTTGCTGATTGCTGATTGATCATGATTGATCGAAGTCTTTCTGCGCTCCGATGCTGCGAACTCTAGACCGTCGCCGCATCTTGCTAGAACCAAAGCGCGCGCGCAGCGCGCGCGCGTGGTTCTAGTATGTATATGTGTGTGTGTGTTGATATTTCTTGCTCTCGCAGGTGCACATTATCTGCATGTTCGTACGCATCTCTACCAGGGAGTAGAGCTTTGAGAAGAGTGCTGGTGAAACCCTTGGATAACTGAATGGCCTCATCGTTCGGGACATCCTCATTCTTGAAGATTGACGCACCCCTCACGCAGATTGCGACGTCAGAGTCAGAAAGCATACGGGTACCATTCACAAGGCATTGAGTTTCAATGATTTTGCACATACTTGGTAGAACACCGTTGTGTTTCAATGATCCATGTGTGGTCGATCATGACTGCGATAAAAAAAAACCTTTGAAATCATCGAGTTCGCGTATTGATTAGGTGGTGTATCTTTGGCTCCAAGTGTACTTCTCAAAAGTTGCTCTGGTTTCTAGTGCTATTGTCCACAGAAGGTGCTCCTCAACATTCCGTCGCATGGCAAGCTGCAGCAACCTCATCGGTGGCCCCGCATTGCTTTTGAGTGAGCCTGGTCGCGCACGTGCCACTTGTGAATATATACATGTGTATATAGAAGGGCTGCTGCGTGATGAGGAGGATCGGGGCGGGGCGGGGGAGGAACCAACGTCTCACTCAATCGATCTCACTATCGACCTCACTATCGATCTCACTACCGTTATCGCCATCGATCTCATGATCGATGTTTGTTCGCGTGTGTTCGTTGCATGGCCCGTTCCACGCTTGGGCCCCCCTCGCTCTTCTCAGGGATGAGTGCAGCCATCCCACGAGAAGCAACCTCGAGAGATGGAAGTGCAGAGTCTTCGAGAGCAGGCACCCTCTCCGAAGCGACGCGGTGCTCGAGGCGGCGCCTGCCTGGCGAGGAGGCCCTGGCAGGAGAGGTCGAGGCCTCGTGCGTGTCGGCGCCACTCTCGATTTCCGTGCTCGTTTTGGGAACCTTCTTGGGGCCCACCTGATGGATCTGTTCGACCCCAGCTCGACTCAGGTTCGACTCGAGTTCGACCCAAGTTCGACGCAGGCTCGACGCAAGATCGACTCGAGTCGACGCGCGCTCGACGCAGTTTCCACGCACGAGTGGAGCGAGTTTACCCGGGAAGGTCCCCGGAACGAGCATCCAGCTCGAATGTCGCTGGGGCTCGTGGGACGAAGACCTCAGCCATTTCTAGAGGGCAGAAAATCCACCCCGATAATAACTACCCCGACACGCGAAGCCGTTCCGTAAACGCACCCGAGGAAGGAATCGAACAGGGCAGGGCTGTTTAGTGGCCTGCCCGCACCCTCCCGCCCGCGCCCTCCCGCGGCCGGGGAGGCAGCAAGAACTGGGAGGACCGGGCAGACGCGCAGGCGGGGCCCGCGGCGGGGGACAGGAGGGGGGGGGGAGGGCGAGGGCGGGGGAGGGGAGGGAGGGGTGAGAGAGCGGGGAGGGCGAGGGCGGGGGAGGGGAGGGCGAGGGCGAGGGCGGGGGAGGGGAGGGCGAGGGCGAGGGCGAGGGCGAGGAAGGGGGGGGGAGGGCGAGGGCGGGGGAGGGGAGGGAGGGGTGAGAGAGTGCGGGAGAGACGGAGAGAGGGGAATAATGACAGGCAGAGGGCAGAGAAGCAGGCCGAGACCCAGACCCGGGGGGTCCCAGACGAGACCGAAGCGGAGACAGAGTCGGCGAGACACAGAGACAGAGGCAGACACAGAGACAGAGAGAGAACGAGAGAGAAAAAAAGAGAGAGAGAGACAGACACATTCGCAACTATCTAAATCTACACATGGGTATAGATGTATGCATTCGCGTATGTATATGCGCGTGGTTTGACATGAATGCATATACGCGGGTGAGTATACGTACCTGCATATGTATATGTGCATGCCGCTGTATGCATATATGTACATATGCATGTAAGAGTTGCATGCGTGCGCACATGCATGTTTATGCACGTGGGCATGCGCATTATATGTAGATGTGTACACATGCAAATTCATGTGCATGTGCATTTGCATATGCACATGTGCATGCATATGTAGATGTACTTGCAGTTGTAAATGAAGGTGCCTGTGATTATGAACATGTATGTATGTGTATCCGTGCATTTATGCAGGTGTACATATGCATATGGGTATATGCATGTATATGTGTGTATGTATATGGTGCATGCAAGTGCATCGATGCACAATTACATGCTTAGGCGTAAGTGCACATTCTTATACACACATAAATATATATAAAAATATGTAGTATGGTATATATATATAGAGAGAGAGAGAGAAAGAAACAACCAACACAACAGAGAGAGAGAGAGAGAACACATCAACGAGAGACACAGATCCATCTGCCTCGGGCAATTCTGCCACCGTGTCAGCGCAGTATGCTAGTGCGCAACTGTTCGAGAAGGCAACGGGGCCAGCGGGGGGCCTATTGGGGCAGAAGGCTCGAACTCTTGGTTCGTGCTTCCACACTGGGGCCCTCCCTATAGGGCACTCTTGGGGCTCTCTTGGGCGCCTCTTGGGCGCCTCTTGGGCCGTCTTGGAGCTCTCCCTGGGCCGCCTGGGAGCTCTCTTGGGGCCTCTTGAGCCGTCTCGGAGGAGTCCCGGGGGGCCTTGGGAGCGCGAATCCGCAGTATGTTGCCCCAGAAGGGGGGCAGGGGGGGAGGTGCGCGCGCTTGCGTGCGACCCGGTAGGTGAGGTGGCCCTTACAAAATTAGACAAACCTTGCCAGACGGCACGTGGCATTCTAGCACGCCTCAACGTGCCAGGAGGTACGGTGGCGAACAGTATGTATATATACATATATATATATATATATACATATCACAGTGAGTGGGCCGATAGGTGCGTGGCTGAAGTGGCAGTCCGCGGCGCGGATTCTGCATGTTGAATTTTCAATTGCGAAGAAGAAGTATTGTTGATCCCCTCACCGGTGAACATTCTGTTTTTCGTGTAGAGTGCCCCCCTCGGGGCTCGCAACCTGTATCTCTATCAGGGTGCCGCCAGGTGGTGGTGTTTCCCCCTCCTGCCAGCGTCATGCGTCGCTCCTCCGCTCCCTTTCTCTGCTCGTCCCTCGGGCTGTCCCTGGGGTCCCCGTCCTCTCCTCGGGTCGCCGGCCGTCCCCCCGCCGCTTGCCTTCCCCCGGCTCCGGGTTGGTCCTGGTTCCCAGGTGTCGCTCCCTCCCGTCTGCCCCCTGCTGCTGTTGCCCTTCCTCAGTGTCGCCCACCTGGTTGGCCACGCTTCGGGCTTGTACCCTTCCTACCTGGCCTGTCCCATCGCGCAGTCGACCCATACCCTTGTGTAAAACGCCTCGCACACTCAAGTGAGTCGCCGGGACGTCCCTTCACGTGCATGTCGCCATTTCATTCGTGCATTGGCCTTGGTACCTGCTTCTTGCACGCGTCAGCTACGTCCTGACCATCCATCGGCAGACGCTCGGTGGTAACTGATCTGGGAGTGTTCCGCCCTCACGCTGCGTTAGATCAGCCAGCCGGAAAACTAAACAGCCTGTGTGTGCGTGTGTGTGTGCGTGTGTGTGTGTGTGCGTTTGCGTGCGTGTGTGTGTGGCTATGTGTGTGTTTGCGTGTACGTGCGCGTGCGTGTGTGTATGTGTGTTTGTGTGCGTGCGTTTGCGTGCGCGCGTGCGTGTGCGTGCGTGCGTGTGCTTGTTTGTTTGTGTGTGTGTGTGTTTTGTCAGTGTGTCTGTGTGGCTGTGTGTATGTCTGTGTGTGGGGGAGTCCCGCTTTCCGCGCTTCGACCTTCTACGTCTCGACTGCGCCCTCATGCCCATTCTCTTCCTCCTTCCTCGTCCTCCCCCTCCTCGTCCCGATCCTCCTCCTCGCCCTCCCTCCCCTCCTCGTTCTCCTCTTCCTCCCTCCATCCTCGTCCTCCCTTCCTCCTCGTCCTCCTCGTCCCCTCCTCGTCCTCCACCTCGTCCTCCTCCCGATCCTCCCCCTCGCTTCCCCCCTCCCTCTCTCCCCTCCCTCCCTCCCTCGTCTCCTCGTCCTCCCCTCTCCCTCCCCTCCTGGGCGTCTGAATGGAGCCCGCCCGTGCCGGCGGCCCGGTGGTCCGCGCGGGGGAGAGCTCGGGGGGGGGGAGGGGGAGGGGGGAGGAGGAGGAGGAGGAGGAGGAGGAGGAGGAGGAGAGAGGAGGAGGAGGAGAGAGGAGGAGGAGGAGGAGGAGGAGGAGGAGGAGAGAGGAGGAGGAGAGGAGGAGGAGGAGGAGGAGGGGGCCGCGCGCCGCGCTCGCGCCGCGCTCGCCGCGCGCGCGCACTCGCGCCGCCCCTCGAGGTGAACTGGGCGAGACTGTGAAGGGCCGCGACGAGGGCGACGGGTGGCTGAAGGCTCGTGCTCCCTCCTCCTCCTCCTCCTCCTCCTCCTCCTCCTCCTCCTCCTCCTCCTCCTCCTCCTCCTCCCCCTCCTCCTCCTCCCCCTCCTCCTCCTCCGCGACGAGGGCGACGGGTGGCTGAAGGGTGACTGTGAAGGGCCGCGACGAGGGCGACGGGCGACGGGTGGCTGAAGGCTCGTGCTCCTCCTCGTCGAGGGCGCGGGGGGGGGGGGAAAGGGGGGGGATTTTGGATTGCGCATCTGATTCGCCTGGCGACGGTCAGAGAGGGACGGCGCTGCAACTAGCAGAATATTTAGTCAGACTAAAAGACTGCGCGGGCACCAAGTAGGCAAGTACAGTACAGTACGATGGGACCCCCGCGACAGAGCGGACGGAACGCGTCGAACCGAAAGGGGGGGGGGGGAAGGAGGAGGGGGGAGGGGGAGGGCTCGCGTTCCTCTCCCTCCTCTCTGAGGGGCGTGGGAGGGAAGGAGGAGGCGGTGGGAGGGGGAGGGGGGAGCATCACGGCGTTTTTCTGTGTGTTTCAGACATCTACCCCAACATCTACCCCAAGGGGGGGGCAGGGGGAGGGGAGGAAGAGGGGAGTTCTCCACCGAAGCCCCCAGTGGGACCGTCGGGGACGCATGAATTTGGCATTTTCACTCACCCAGTACAGCCTTTCGTGGCCCCATAGGGAGCTGCACCGAAGCTCCCAGTTGGACCGTCCGCATGCGTCCCGGAAGCCCAATTTGGCATTTTCACCCCCCAGTACAGCGTTTCGCGGCCCCATCGGAAGCTCCACCGACGCCCCCAGTGGGACCGTCCGCATGCGTCCCAGAAACCAATTTGGCATTTTCACCCACCCAGTACAGCGTTTCGTGGGACCGCCCGCATGCGCACACCCAATTTGGCATTTTCACCCACCCAGTACAACGCTTGGTGGCCCCATAGGGGGCTCTACCGAAGCTCCCAGTGGGACCGCCTGCATGTCTCCACACAACCAATTTGGCATTTTCACCCACCCCAGAACAGCGCTTCGTGGCCTCATGGGGAGCTGCACCGAAGCCCCCAGTGGGACCGCCCGCAGACGTCACTCACACACACACACACACACACAATTTGGCATTTCCACCCACGCAGTACAGCGCTTCGTGGCCCCATAGGGGGCTCCACCGACGGCCCCAGTGCTACCGCCCGCATGCGTTCTCCCCCGTCGAGTGCAGCGCTTCGTGGCCCCATAGGGAGCTTCACCGAAGAAGATATTCACAATTTCGGTACCCACAACTGCATATGGTTGGGTCCTTTTCGTCGGGGCCAGCGTCAGAAGCTCTGGACCAGCTTGGAGCATTTTTGGGCATCTACAGTCAACATTCATAGTAAGTATGCACGGATGGATGTCCTCATGGTGCCCTTGCGTCCTTGCCTCTGCGGCCCGTCCTTCGCGGCTTTCGCTGGCCAGCCCCTTCAGGGTGTCCTTAGTCTGCCGGAAAAAAAGTGTGGAGTTCGGCGGCCAAGGTCCTTGCGCCCTTCCCACCCGTCCTTATCATAGAGTTCCACTGTAGAGAAAGACAAGCGCACGAAGCCAAGCAGCGCACGGTAAGTGGACGTCCGAGCGATGACCAGGGGATCTTCAGGAGCCTGAGGTCCCCGCCAAGAGCGGGCCCCCCTGGGCAGGGGCCGGGAGGTCATGGGGGGCCCCTCTTCCTCCTCCTCCTCCTCCTCCTCCTCCTCCTCCTCCTCCTCATCATCATCATCATCATCATCATCATCATCATCCTAATCCTCATCCTCATCCTCATCCTCCTCTCCTCCCTCTCCCCCCTCGTGCCGAAGAGAAACAACTTGCACACAGTAAACATAATATACAGTGGGGGCCCCTGCCAAGAAACACCCTGCTTGCCTCCAGGGTGCCCTGGGCTTCTGGGGTTTCGAGGGTTTTGCCATTCAAAGCGTGACGTGCCCTCACCAGAGATCCATAGACGTCCTGGAGTCTCAGGGTTGGATTTCTTGTGGAAGGTTTATTGTGGACTAGCCTCCACTGTTAAGGTCGGGCCGAGGTAGAAGATCGAGGTCGGTTCGGGGAGGGTAAGTTACTCTCCAATGCTCCTCGTGCTTTTGGGGTGCTTCTGCGCCTCTGGGGGGGCGGCACCCTGGAATGTTCCCCCGTTTTGGCTTGCGCAGGGTCTCATGCTCTTGAAGGATGCTCTTCTGTCCTGGGTCCGGCCGTGTACGTTCTCGGCTCCGCGCGGGTATCTTGGCGGCGCCTCCAGGCTCCGTCACTGGCGCGCGCGCTCCGCGCGCCAGTGAGGGGGGACCAGCGCCGACACAAGAATTCGGCAGCACATCCTGGTAACCTGGTCTAGCCCCCTTAATTCCGTCTTCCGCGTCGATGAGCATGCGATTCGATGGGATAGCGCCGTGTAGCGTCGGCTATCGCCGATTCGCGCCGATGTAGCGTCGATTAGCGTCTGTTTAGCGTCGACTAGCGTCTATCTCGCAAGAGCCGACAAGATGGTATGGGAGGCTCCCATGAGTTGCCACCGAATATACCATCCGTGCTTTCGCCGATCCTCTCCGCCCGCGAGGTGAGGCATCCGTCGGGCATCCTGTTCCTCCCCTTCAAGGCGCAGGGCAAGCTGGTGGTCTTCCAGAGAGAGGCCTCGTGCAGATGAATGCCTTTCCCGATTGGTCTGTGTCATGGATCCTACCTGCAAGACCCCTCGCGTCGTGAAAACATCACGGCGCACTATTTTCTGCCTTTTGGGGTCCTCACCGAACCTCGGGACGGTCTTACACAGGTTCAGGATAGAAAGCCGGTCCCGGGCAATGGTCGAGATTTTTGGAATCACGTGAAGAAATCATGACGTCGGGGGTCTTGGTTTTGTGATGACATCTACATGTGTTTGTGCCGGCTTGCGCTCTGCGTCCATTGTCTCCACACACTCGCCTCTTACTTTTTGAGCCCGTGAGTTCAATAGATGTGTTTGCATTATGTTTGCGGCATTCGCCGTGTATCACACATGTTGAACATTTCGTTTGTGAATTTCCCCACACACACACATACGCGCGCACACACACACACACACTCCCTTAGTATGCCGAGACGACGTTCTGGGCACCACAGGCCAGGGCCAGGGCCAGCGCCGACCTAAAACATCCGCGCGGAGTTCCGAAAGTTTGCTCATATAGTCGTCCTGGTTGTTCGAACGCAGCGAATTGGATATTATTTGAAGCAACCTACGTTGTGCAGGTTTAAGTTGTTATTGGGAAGGCCTTGCGGCCAGTGCCGCCGACCCTGAAGGGGGACGACGACGACGACGACGACGACGACGACGATGACGACGACGACGACGACGACTGCGGCGGCGGCGGCCACGAGGACGACGACGACGACGACGCTGACGCTCTGGAGCCCTTCTTGGGGCTCTCTAGGGAGCCCCTTGGAATTTTCCTCCTTGCGACATGGCCCACAACGTCACGCCCTCTGAGTCTCGGCGCTGCCTTGGCGCATCTGGGAACATCATGCGGGGCGGCTAGGAAACAGCACATATTGAGACGTTGGCGTTATCGAAGACGCCTACGGCGAATCACCTCTGCCCCCTGCCTTTTTGGAAGCGCCTATTTGGCCGGACGTTGAGGCCAGACCTGCCAAGCTATCGGACCATGTGCTCCCCGAATCGGTTTGGCAAGCCCTCGGGGAACACTGTGGGGCATCTTGAAGGTCATCTTGGCCGTCTGGAGGTAATGTTTGACCCTTTTCGGGTCTTCTTGGAGGACGCCTTGGGGTCGTGGAGGCCATCTTGAGCGTCTTGGAGGCCTCCTGGGCCGTCTTGGGGTCCTCTTGGGGCCGTCTTGGGCCTCTTGAGCGATCTTTGGGGGCACTTGGGCCGTCTCGGGCCGTCGGAAGGCCGAACAAAAAGCAAATGCCACAATTCTTCAAAAAATTCATGGGAAATCAATGAGATTTGCCTTTTCGGCCCTTCCTGGAGGCCCTTCTGGAAGCCTCTTGAGCTATCTTAGGGCCATCTTCGGCCGTTTCGGTGGGCTCCTGGCCCGTCCGACGCCGTCGGACTCCGTTCGGGGGGCATCTCTGGGCCTGGGGGGCGCTTGGAATGCTCCAGGGCCGTCTTGGAGGCCATCTTGGGCGTCTTGGAGGCTTCTTGGGTTGTCTTGGGGGCCTCTTGGGGCCGTTTTGGGGGGCTCTTGGGCCGTTCTGGGGCCATCTTGGAGGCCTCTTGGGAGATCTTTGGGCGATCTTTGGGGGCTCTTGGGCCGTATCGGGCTTTCAGATGTCCGAAAAGAAGCAACTGTCAACATCCTTCAACAACCTACGGAAAATCAATGTTGTTGGCCTTTTTCTGGCCTTCCTGGAGGCCCTCTTGGAGGCCTCTTGGGCAGTCTTGGGCCAGCTTCGAATCAGCTTCGGCCATCTGGTGGGCTCCTGGCCCGTCTGACGCTGTCGAAAGCCGTCTGGGGAGCCTCTCTGGGCCGACTTGGGGCCCTCTTGGGGTGCTCCAGGGCCGTCTTAGAGGCCATCTTGGGCGTCTTGGAGGATTCTTAGGTCGTCTTTGTGGCCTCTTGGGGCCGTCTTGGGGGCCTCTTGGGCCGTCATGGGGCCATCTTGGAGGCCTCGTGGGTGCTCCACGGGCGATCTTGAGCCGTCGGAATGCCGAGAAGAAGCAATTGCCAAAATCCTTCAACTACCTAGGGGAAATCTGTGATTTTCACCTCTTCGGGCCCTCCTGGAGGACCTCCCGGAGGCCTCTTGGACCGTCTTGGAGGCCTCCTGGGGGCCTCTTAGGCTGTCTTGAGCCGTCTTGAGGCTATCTTAGGCCGTCTTGGGTGCATCCTGGGCCGTCATCTTAGCCGTCTTTGAGGCCATCTTGGCCGTCTTGGAGGCATCTTGGAGGCCATCTGGGGCCATCTTGAGCGAAAACGCCGACGAGGCAGGCAGCCGGCGGGACGGGCCGAAGCCCCAGGGGGAGTTTTTTTTGGAAAGGGAACCAAAACCAAAACTGATCGGATTCGGCACGCCAGGCATCCCTGCGATGAATCGACAGGGGGCGGCGGATCGAAGACGCCTACGGCGAATCACAGCCGCCCCCTGCCTTTTTGGAAGCGCCTATGTGGCCGAACGTTGAGGCCAGACCTGCCAAGCTCTCGAAAAGCCTTGGGATTACGTGGGCATCTTGAAGGTCATCTTGGCCGTCTGGAGGTCAGTTTGAACCACTTCGGGCCTTCTTGGAAGACGTCTTGGAGGGCTCTTGGGCCGTCCTGGAGGCCATCTTGAGCGTCTTGAAGGCCTCTTGGGCCGTCTTGGAAGCCTCTTGGGGCCGTCTTAGGCCTCTTAGGCGATCTTTCGGGGCACTTGGGCAGTCTCGGGCCGTCGGAAGGCCGAACAAATAGCAAATGCCGCAATCCTTCAAAAACTCATGGGAAATCCATGAGTTTTGCCTTTGCGGCCCTTCCTGGAGGCCCTCTTGGAAGCCTCGTGGGCAGTCTTAGGCCATCTTAGGGCCATCTTCGGCCGTTTTGGTGGGCTCCTGGCCCGTCCGACGCCGTCGGAAGCCGTTCGGGGGGCATCTCTGGGCCGACTTGGGGCCCTCTTGGAATGCTCCAGGGCCGTCTTGGAGGCCATCTTGGGCGTCTTGGGGCACTCTTGGGTCGTCTTGGGGGCCTTTTGGGCCCGTCTTGGGGGGCTCTTGGGCCGTTCTGGGGCCATCTTGGAGGCCTTTTGGGCGATCTTTGGGCGATCTTTGGGGGCTCTTGGGCCGTATCGGGCTTTCAGATGTCCGAAAAGAAACAAGTGTCAAAACCCTTCAAACATCGATAGAACATCAATGTGTTTGGCCTTTTCTGGCCTTCCTGGAGGCCCTCTTGGAGGCCTCTTGGGCCGTCTTGGGCCAGCTTCGAGCCAACGTCGGCCACCTTGGTGGGCTCCTGGCCCGTGTTCTTGTGGAGAAAGCCAACATTAAAACCGATAGGATTCGGCACGCCAGGCACGCCTGCGATGAATCGACAGGGGGCGGCGGATCCGAGTGGCCTTCGGCCCCTTCTGCCACCGTGCCTGGGTTGTGGGTCTGAGGCCTCTGGTATATGTGTTGGTCGTTTTGGGTCTCTTGGAGGCCTCGTGGGCGCGTTTTGGGCGCGTCTTGGGGCCTCTTAGCGGCCTCGTTGGGCCTCCTGGGTGCTTCTCGGGGCACAGCTATAGAATTTTCAGTTCGTCGTCCCTGGGGGCCCTCTTGGGCCGTCTTGAGCGCTTTTTGGGCCATCTTGGAGCCATCTTGGGCCGTTTTGGGGCCCTGTTGGAGGCCTCTTCGGCTGTCTTGTGGCGGTTTTCTGAGCTTCTTGAGCCGTCTTGGAGCGTCAGAAAGCCGAAAATGCAAGAAGGCCAACATTCAACAACCTTTCTGTCTAATCGACGATTGGGGCCTCTTGATGCTTTCTCGGGAGGCCGCTTGGAGCGCTCTTGGGGCCTCTTGGGGCCCTCGTGGGCCGTCTTCGAATCATTTTGGGCGCCTTGGAGCACTCTTGGCCTCGTCAATGCGAATATGGTGTAATTTGCAAAGGTCTAAGGCTTCGGGGACGCGAGTAGTGTGTAATGTACAAGGGTTTGTCACCTCGGGGGCGCAAGAAATTGATAATTTACAATGGGTTGTGGCCACGGGGACGCGAAAATTGCAGTTTTCGAAGAGCTATGGCCTCGGGGGCGCGAGTCTCATGTATGTTTAAATGTCACAGGCACACCCTGGAATTCAGAGCACGCGATCCGGGCGTGGGACATTGGGCGGTTTGGGCCCCCCCCTTGCGCGGACTTCAACAATTTACAGTAGGAAGCAGAAAGCAGGACTGTAACATTGGAGACTTGAAACTGCAACTGGTGCAGGGAGCAGCACACTTCGGCCTACAGCCTGGTGGCCCCACAAGGGGGCCGGCGTATTCGGCAGCTTCTGGAAGGGTTGGCACGATTGCTGCCCAGGACCCCCCCCCGCGTCGTGACAAATTCACGACGACAGCTTCTTCGCTGCGTTGATCTTCTGGGGGTCCTCGCTGGGCCCCGGAGCCGACTCGGGGACGTCGGGGGTTCTGGATGCCCGTCGAGGGTCCACGGCGATCGCGCAGGCCGCAGCGGGCGGAGGGAGCGGGAGAGGTGGGGGGGGGGACGTCGCCCGGCTGCGAGAGAAAGGCGCGCGAGGAGGAGAAGGAGGAGGAGGAGGAGGAGGAGGAGCGGCCGCGTAGGGCAGGAGGGGGGCCTACAGGGCACTCACGGCTGAAAGCAGAAAGCAGTTCTGGATGAGCTCGCCCCATGCCGAGCGCGCGCACACACACGCACGCACACGCACACGCACGCACGCACGCACGCACGCACGCACGCACGCACGCACGCGCACACGCACGCACGCACGCACGCACGCACGCACGCGCACACGCACGCACGCACGCACGAACGCACGCACGCACGAACGCACGCACGCACGCACGCACGCACGCACGCACGCACGCACGCACGCACACACACACACACACACACACACGCACACGCACACGCACACACACACACGCACACACGCACACACGCACACACGCACACACGCACACACACACGCACACACGCACACCACACACACACACCGCACGCACGCACGCACGCACGCAC